CTGGCCTTCTACAAATAACTTCATACCTAATATCTTCGCCTTGGATGTTAGATAAGTGTATCACATTCAATATATCCCATATGTAACTTGAAGTCATGTGCCAACTTATTCCTCCGATTTCTTCATTTTAAGAAATAGCACTAGAATCTACTGAATTGTTCAAACCCCAAACTTTATTCTTGTTTCCTAATCCAGCCACTTCTAACCTCTCAGCATGCCCATCAGTTGGGTCCTGAATTACTCATCTCTCTGCCTTCTCACTACTCTCTGTGTACCTGTGGTCTCTTACCCAGACCTCTGACTGGGAATGATTCCTGCTTTCATTCTCGTCCCTGCTGTAGACTCTTCCCCACACAGTAGCCAGAATAACCTTTGGTAAATGTATGTTCGATTACATTATTCTGCAGTTGAAAAGCTTCCATTGGCTTCTGATCTTACTAGAATTAACCACAATCTCCTTACCATGACAATCATAGATCTATATTAGTTGGTCACTGTCTGGTGCTCTCACCTCGTCTGCTTTGCTCCCTGCTGGCACCATCATGTTTCATGAAGAATGCCCTTGTGAATGCACCTTTGAATGCACTGCCGTGTGGCACTTAAGACTTTAGTTCCTTCTGTCTGGAATCCTTTTCCCTTGGAGCTATACACAGCTGATTCTTTCCTGCTGATTCAGTGCTCAGATCGACTGTTGCCTTGAAGAGACACCTTTTCAAATAATCTGATCTCAGATAGACTTTCATTGCCCCATTTTCCACATTTAGGTTGCTATAGTGTGACCTAGGTGTATTTTTTATGTTATATTTTTCTTTTTGTCTTGTTTTTTTTTTTTCCCAATAATTACCTTGCTTATTTTTTCAAGTTGTAATCTTTTTTCCACTAGTTACATTTCACGGAGGCAAGGTCTCTATCTCTTTTGTTTACTAAATACATTTCTATTGCCTCGAATGCGTCCTGGTACACAGAGAAACGGAAGAGCAATATTTTTGAATACCTTATTATGAATCAGAGATGGCTCAAAGACTGCTATGTTAAATCCTTTACTGTTCCAAACTAGCCTGCACAGTATATGCAGTTGTTTTACTTCTGTTTTAAAGAGGAAGGATCTGAAGGCAGACAGGTCAGCAGGCTTGCCTAGGCTCTATTGCCTGCAACAGGCAGGTGTAGGATTAAACCCAGCGCATCTCTGTCCAGAAACCACAATCAAAACCAAAACAAAACAAAACACATAGTTACTGTAGTTTAGTACAATTATTTATGTTGAAAGAAAGATCAAACAGAAAACATTTATTTGTGTTGTCATATATTGTGCTAATTTTTATTCTAAGGCTCACTGAAGATTACCTTGTATTTTCAAGGTCAAATCTTGGAAATTTTGGAGATGCAAATAGTAAAAATTACATAGACAAAGCAACGAAAATCACAGAATTCGCTGATGAGGTACTGTGAACCCTCATTTCCCTGTGAATAACTGGAAACATTGGGGGCAATGCTTAACTACCTCTGAACTTCTCAGTTGCCATGTGAGAGGCCTGAGATTACCTGCTGCATCCTCTTCCTTTAGAAACATTGTCTTGAAAGTAGATTTTCCTTACAAGTAATTATTCTATCTCTGATGGAGATAAGTCTTCCATGCTCTTCTTCAGGATTTCGGTGGGTCACCGTGCCTGGGCTAGCTGGTCAACCCAGATCTATAACTGTCATAGTAAGGAGATTGTGGCTAATTCTAATAAGATCAGAAGCCAATGGAAGATTTCAACTGCAGAATAATGTAATCGGACAAACATTTACCAAAGGTTATTCTGGCTACGGTGTGGGGAAGAGACTACAGCGGGGACAAGAATGAGAGCAGGAACCATTCCCAGTCAGAGTGAGGTCTTCAGAGCCATGGTTTAAACCTGTTACATGCTGACGACTCACAAATCTGTATCTATAGTCCTACAACACAGCTGTAGCCTATTCTTATTTCCACAGCAGTCCAGTGTCCACGATGTGAAATGTGTTTGCTCTAATCATTGTACCATGTAACCCACCTGCCATTACTGTTAATAGTCATTAATGAAAAATACCAATAGGAGGATCCATGAATATAAAACTGTATCTTGTAGTTTATGATTTATGCCACTAATATTAAAATGCACACTATGTGGATCACCTGTGCAGGTGTTGAACAATGAGAGCACATGGACACAGGGAGGGGAGCATCATACACTGGAGTCTGTTGAGGGGGCTAGGGGAGGGACAGCGGGGGATGGGGAGGTTGGGGGGGGATAACATGGGGAGAAATGCTGGATATAGGTGATGGGGGGGATGGAGGCAGCAAACCACATTGCCATGTATGTACCTATGCAATAATCCTGCATGATCTGCACATGTACCCCAGAAACTAAGTACAATAAAAAAGTAAATAAGCCTTTACACAGTTGCCTATTTTTAAATATTTTTGGAAGTACTCAATAGGAACACACACAAGTTATTTTGAATAACTGTATTTCCTGTCCTCCTATCTCATTTCTAGCTCCCTCCAAGGATCATGTACCCAGGCTCTAGGCTGAGGCTGGGACCCCCTTTTGGTTTTTGCTTCACTTACTATGGTACCCCGTGTACCATAATACATGAAAACATACTGCCCACTCAGAGATTTCAGTCAAACATTAACAATGAAGGATTATTCTCCCACGACAACCTTCATTTTTGTTCCAGCCACAATCATCTCCCTGTTTTATGGATTTCTAGAACATTTATAGTCATCCCAAAGCAACCTAGCCTTCGGGTTATATGCTACTTTTTAGGGTCTACTGTTTCCAGTGGGTCATCTATGGCTTGTGTGTCTGAGTAGCTGCACCATATCTAGAAGAGGGGAGAGTCAGAGTGTCTGTGCCTCTTGGGTGCCTACATTCCTAAACACAGACGTGGAGACCCTCTGTGAACTAGCCTGTCTTCACTGCACAATATCATTGCCAGTGAATTTTGAGCTAAAATCTCCCATCTAGTCGGGGAGCCTAAAAAGACTCTCATTGGAATTTATGAGATAAAAAATGTCAGAACAGAAATAAAGCCACCAAACAGATATGCTTGTTTTAAGTAACCTGTTATTGATTCCAGTCTTGGTTCACAAATCTGTAGCTCAAAATAATTACCCAAGTGTTTCTAATAAAGCATTCTGATTTAAGATTTTTAAAAATACATTTAGAGGCAGGTGTACTGTTTCTTTGTAAAAATCCAGTATTCAGAAGAATGCTTTTTTATATTTGGGCATTTATAGATCCTTGGCATGGTTTATGAAAACAGTAAGAGAGATAATGTGTCAGAAAATGCAAACAATTCCCCTTGGAAGGGAAAGCAATACAGAAGAAAACCCTGGGGTAATATGACTTATGTGTCACCATAATGCCCGATGTCTACTGGCTACAGCAACAGGATGCTAAAATTTACAAAGTTTATAAATGATGGGTCTCTTCTCTTATTAATCTAAATTTTTCTCCCTCAGGGAAACTTAATCTCATAGATTTCAGTGAAAAGCATATTTCAGAGTAACAAAGAAAAACGTTTATCTAGCTCAGAAAAGCTGTACTGTACCAAAACTTTCTGCAAGGGCAAACATACTTATGTTAGTGCACATTTGAATTTAAAAGTTGTAAAAGTTAACTTTTTAAAAGTAAGCTATTTTTAACTTTTTAATGCCATTCCTCTGCAATTCATTTTTAATTCATTTTAATTCACATGTTAAGTCATGTGAACAGTGAAAATTAGAGCTTTCTAAAATCTTTATAGCTTTTATTTCTGTGTGTTTTCTTAAATCATACATATTTGAGAGCCTAGGAACTGATAGAACATATTTAATCAACAGCAGCAATTTGCTAGGTACCTACTATGTGCCAAGTAGTGTGTTGAATGTGGGGACATGTTATTGAACAAGACTTCTCCATCTTCCTGTGAAACAATGAAATCCTAGTCACCAACAAGCCCAATCATGTTACAATGGGGGAAGCCCAGGGCACAGAGGAATGCAAGCCAGGCAGGCCTGCCTGATGAGGGGGTCAGAGAAGGAACCCATAATAAAGGGTAATTTTAGCTGAAACCTGACCATGGGTGAAGGAAGCAGTCAGGGGAAGACTACTGGGCAGAGGATGGGGCAAAGGCCTGCAAGTGAGATACATCGTTGGTGCCCTTGGGAAAAATGAAGGCCATCAGCAAGTGCAGACCCTGTAGAAGAGTGTTGAGAATGAGAAAGCAGTAGCCAAATCTGGAGGCCTTGAAAGCCTAGAGGTTTGTTCATCTGTGATCAGTGTGGAGGGGCATTTCAAGAGTTTAAAACAGATAATCATGTTTATAAATGTCACTCCAACTACAGAGGCTGGAGGTGTAACGCAGGAGGCAGGAGACCAGTTAGATCCACAGTCCAGGAAAAAGATGATCACAGGCTCTTCTAGAAACTGAATGGTAAAAATGAATATGTGCAAGAGGTGATCCAGAAGCAAAGCTAAATATGTTTGGTGGCTGTTCGAATATTGGCGATGAAGGAGGAGAAGACCAATGCACCCCACATAGCTGTGCAGGTTGCACACTGAGCAAGCCGGGAGTGTCATGGCCGTCACATCTACATGGAAGTCTTGTGAAGAAGTTGTACAATGTGGCAGAACCCAAGATCCCAACGATGAAAGAATGTGTCCAGTGTGTCCAGGCCTCTGTGTTGAGCAAATGAAAAAATAGTGGTTTTATTTATTGTGAATTAGAAGGAAATCAGGGTTTACTATCAGGGAAGAGTGTGAGTAGTGGTGACAAAAGGAAATGATGAGGTGAGTACCCAACAGTTTGAGTTTGAATGGAGATGAGAAGAGAGAAATTGATATGTATCTGTCTGGATACTGTCCTGACAATGCATGTTTGAGAAACCCCAGTGTTCAGGTGATAATTAAGGCAAGACAATTGCCTAAGATTAGACAGTAATAGTGTTTGGGGACTGCAGAAACTTTCAAATTTTGAAACTTTTGGAATGTCCCAATTATCCGTGATGGAGAAGCAAAAGATGAGGTGGAGGAGGCACCCGAGAGACCGGGAAGGGTGCCACAGGGTCTAGGAAGAGAGTGAGGGTGGGGCAAAGCAGCTGATGCTGAAGAAGTGAGTGTCCACAGGGCACGTGACACATGGGTGGCCTTGATTAGGGTGATACCCCATTGGGAGGAGGGGCAGAATCCAGATTATAATGGTTTGAGGATGGAGTTGAGAAGGCAGAAATAAAGGCATGAGCTGCAGACAGCTCTTTTATTCAGTTTAGTTGGGAACATGAGGGCAAGGACAGTAGCAAAGGGAGAGAAAGTTAAAGGGAGTAAGGCGTCGAGGTGATGGAGGCAGTAAACCACCATGGCACGTGTATACCTACGTAACAAACCTGTGCGTTCTGCACATGGACCCCAGAACTTAAAGTACAGTAATAATAAAATGAAAAGAAAATACAAATAAGGATAATATTTTTTAGAAGGTTAAGCAAGCAAAGTTGAAGCAATTAGCTTCCCGTAGAAGTAGGTACATGATATTTATTGAAATAAGAGAGTGTGCTATCCCAAATAATTATAAATTTTTGTTTCATTTGAGCTGGCTCAAATCAAAAAGACATAAACTGATACAGAAAGATGTTCATAGGAGAAATTTTCAAGAACCATCTTGAAAATGTATATGTTCTCTAATACAATTACTATTTTATCACTTTCTGGAACAGTTCTCTTTCTCTTTTCAATTTACCTGTTCGGTGGCTTATAAAATTATAATGCTAGTGGTATAGGAAACTCTAATAGTGACAGATATGGAGAAGGAAAAGAACATCAATCTCATACTTAAGAAATTATGGAAATTGTGAAGCAGATTTTAGAAGCAGTAGATGAATTCCTGGAAAAATGACCCTCTTCTGTCTGCATCCTGGTAAGCAGCAGACCAAGAGGGAATTATTAATGTGAATACAACATACAAGTAAAGCGGGTGTTGAACAATGAGAACACATGGACACAGGGAGGGGAGCACTACACACTGGGGTCAGTTGGGGGGAAATAGGGGAGGGAGGGTGGGGGGTGGGAAGCTGGGGAGAGATAGCAAGGGGAGAAATGCCAGATGTAGGTGATGGGGAGGAAGGCAGCAAATCACACTGCCAAGTGTGTTCCTATGCAACAATTTTGCATGTTCTTCACATGTACCCCAAAATGTAAAATGCAATAAAATAAATAAATGGGAAAAAAAATTGTTTGAAAATTGCTTGAATTTCACAGAAAATTTAAGTTTAATTAATAGCCCATGATTTTGAGAGTTTTCTTTTGAAGAAATTTTCAGGATATTATTTGAAGGTGAATTAAACCTTTTGTTTGGCTAAATAATCATATCAAGATCAGCAATGCAATGTAGTCTTAAGGTAGGTATTTATCATATTTACACTCAAACTAAAATGCTTGTGTTTATCAGGTATTTGTTATTTTCAATGATATTTTAGGATTAACTTACCAATTTAATTGAACTTATTGTTATTACTAATTTTAATTTTTTATTATTTAATTTCTGTGATAAACTGAATTGGGGCTCTCAAACTTTATGTGTTGAAGTCCTAACTCCCAACATACTGTGATGTGGAAATGGGGCCTGTGGGCAGTGATTAAGTTTAGATGAGGTCATGAGAATGAGGCCTGCATGATAGAATTAGCGCCGTTGTAAGAAGAGACACCAGAGAGCTTGCTCTTTTTCTCTGCCAAGTGGTGATACAGTGAGAAGTAAGCTGCCTATAAGCAGGAAAGATAACCCTTACCAGAAACAGATCATGCTAGCTGCTGACCTTCAGAACTGTGAGGAAATAAAATTTTGTCATTACCCAGTCTATAGTACTGTGTTAAGTCAGCCTGAGTAGAATAAGGCAATTACTATGTAGATCACCTGGATCCTAAATGAGGCTATGGAGACATGCTATGGATAATCATCCTAGGTCAGGGCTTGTCAATTTCAGCACTATTGGCATACTGGTTCAGATAATTCTTTGCTGTGGAGGGCTGACCCCTGCTTTGTAGCATATTTCACCATTCCTGGCTTCTACTCAGTAGATGCCACTAGCATCTCCTGTCCCTGTTGAAAGTCACTGTTTTAGGTAGCATTTAAAGCAAAGAAATTTATTTAGCATATGCAACATTATTCCCTTTGCAACTATATTCTCAAGTCCACAAGCCTTTGTTAGAACCAACAGCGAACATATGCTGTTTTAGCTCAAAATATAATATGTGAGCACTTTCTAGTGGAGGAAGTCACTGGAATTTTGATTGAATTCTCAAATGAGTCCAAGATGGACATTAAAACAAAACAAAGCAAAAAAAAAAAAAAAAAAAAACAAGTAGAAACGAATATTAGCTTAGCCACTAACTTTATCTTTAATATCCTATTTGATTATGCTTTTTCCTGCTACTTTTTCTGCATGCAAAAGCCGTTAGTAAGAGGATGTTCTGAATTGTTGTAAGGAATAACAAAAACACATCAGATGTTCTTATTTTTGAGGAAAAGAGATCTTGGTGTCTTTCTCCATCCCATCGAGCAACAATGACTGAATGGCCAGCCTGTGCCCAGTGTTGTGCTAAAGACAGGTTCAATCAAACATGATGCTGATTTTCCCAGTTCAGGAATAGCACATAGGAGGTGCATGTGTGTCCACAGCAACATCACTAATGACACAGTCTTCCACTAATCCTGGAAGGGCGGCTGCTTCATCCCTGTCAGACCCACAGATGCTCTTCATTCCAGTCAGATGCATCAGGAATGTGAAACCTATCTGCCTGGTCAGCGACTGCACTTTCCTCAGACCTGATTTCTCTGCTGTCCCTCCACATCTTTTTAACATAGAAACTCACCGATAATGTTCTCCAACCCAAACTGATCCACCCAGCTGAGGATGAGGATCCAAATCTTTAACCAGAGAGCCCTGGAAAATTCTAGACTGTTTTTGTTTTCCTCTCTGTCTCCCTGTTCTATACTCAGCTCTATAATCAGTGATATTCTCTCAGTTCTTGGACCACATTTTCTTTCTTGCTCCTCAAGTGCTTTTCAAGTGCTACTGTTTTTTCTCTTTGTGGAATAGACTTTGCTTAATTAATTCCACACGTCGTTTATATCCCAGCACAAATGTCACTTCCTTAGGAGAGACTTGCTGACTTTATCTCTTTCTTTCTCTCTCCTCCATTCCCCACTTTCTCTCCACTTTCTGCTCTTACCTTCATGAGGGCAGAGGAAGTGTCTGTGTCTTGTTTCCTGTATACGCTACAGTGACTGGCACATCACATATGCTCAGTAAACAATTAATTCTCAGTTTATTTCTATGTTTAAAGGCAAGACTACGTCTTCTAGCTGAACAGACAACTCAAGTTAGAGCTAAGAAATTACTAATTTCCCTGAGTCTGGATGATCCTATAATTCTCTTCTATGAAACTGATGCTTGGTTCCTTCTAGTTGTAATTTCATGAAGACTTACAGCAGATGTCAACATTTTAGGCAAATAAGAAAGTTGAATCATATAAACACTGCTGATAGCACAAGCAACTTGAATGGATCTCAAATGTGTTATGCTGAGAATGGAGAAGATACCAATATCAATGGTTTACATACTGTGAGTTTCTATTTATGCCTCATCCTTAAAAAGAAAATTATAAAGATGGATAGCAGAACAGAGGTTGCCAGAGGATGAAGCTGAGGGGAGTCTCTTTAATACAGGTCTGTATCTTGATTATGTTGAGGTGTACTCAAATATATACAAATGCCAAAATCTCATAGAGTTAGATAACTTCCCCCACTGTCCCCAAAATGAAGATATACAAAAGCCAGTATTATTTTAATAAGTTCTGAACTGATGTATATAGTATTATACCAACATTGATTTTATGGCTTTGACGTTGTTCTGTGGCTGAAAGAGATTATCACTGTGGGGAGCTGGATGAATGATACCCAGGAACTGTCTCTCTTATCTTTGCAAACTGAATGGGTCTTAAACTATTTTGAAATAAAATGTTATTAAAATGTTTCAGAACACTGTAGTGCCACTGAAATTTACTAACATGTAGTTATTGATTTCAGTATTATAATAGTGGAGGCTTCTTGTTATATGAGAAAAGAATAAACATGAGCTATAAATAGAATCAAACAATTTTGTGGTTGGAAGTTAAGATTTGGGTGCCAACAAGTATTAAAAGGAAGGTATATTATAAATATTCTATTTATCTTTTTCAGGAATTATCCAGAGAAAGATGGTTTTCAAGGCAATGTAGTTGAGGGAGCTTTACAAATGCCTTCATTAAAAAATGCAATATTTTAGAATATAGTAATTTTAAATAACCAGTGACTGAACCTATTGAAATAATGCGTAAGAAATATTTGTGTTAGAATTGGAGAAAACTTATCTAATTCATTATCCATCATATGTCCTAAAGCAATAATTTCAAATAACTATATACTATTAGATTATATTTTTGTTTTTGAAGCAATTTTATTCCTCTTAAAGATTTTGCAATATTTCTTTCTCTCTTGAATGAATGCCTTCATTATTTTCAACCATGCTGCTGTATTAAATCAGCTCAGGAATGAAGGAAATTTCTCAAAAAAAGACATTTATGCAGCCAAGAAACATGAAAAAAAAAAAAAAAGATCATCACTGGTCATTAGAGAAATGCAAATCAAAACCACAATGAGATACCATCTTATGCCAGTTAGATGTCCAAGTGTGGGGCTCTTCTATGGGCTAAGGCTTGTCCAGCTGCACAGGTGGCCACCCATGAAGCTCGTCCTAGATTTCCAGGAAAAATACCCAGTACAGTATATAGCAATTTTGTCAACGCAGCCACTCATTTGCAAAAGTTATCCATAATGAAAAGTAACGAGCCCATCTTCTTTTATCTTCCAGGTTCACTTCTAGCCTTAAAGGGCCTAGTGATAACTTACATCAGCTGCGTCTGCTGATGAATCAAAAGCAAACTATCTTTCCTTAAATGGGGTTGAATTCTTCCAGTTTTCCAGCATATTCTACATATTTGCTTCAAAGAAAGATTTTTCATAAACTCAGTTCTCAAACTTCATTCTTTCTGAAGCATTTTCTAAATAAGAAATCTTAAATTAGATCCAACTCTCCTGGAATTAATTCTTCATAAGGCCTTTGATGTTCTTAAGGAAGCGTAACGTATTGATTACGTTCTATAGATATCTTTTTTACATGTGTCTTATAATTCCAATTCAATGGTAAACAGAATACAAAATCAAAATGTCTTTTTCATCTGTGGGTACTAATGCACTTAATATATCTCCTTATACATAGGAAGAAACTTAACAAATATAATTCACTAGTGTACATCTGATTTCATTTCTTCTCATAGCCTGTACCTTTGCCTAAAGCTCAAAGTTTCTTTCTAGATATTTCAAAAAGTTAATCAGTTTGTTAGATAATTGTCACTAGTCACATATTTAAAATAAGAACATCAAAACAATTATTGGTA